CTCTTGTTTTCCAGGCTGGAGTATAGTGGCGCAGTCTTGGCTCACTGCAACCTCCAGCTCACCTCAACCTCTGCCTCCCAGGTTCAAGCAATTCTCCTGCCTCAGCCTCCTAAGTAGCTGGGATTACAGGCGCCCACCACCATGCCTGGGTAAGTTTTGTATTTTTAGTAGAGACGGGGTTTCACCATGTTGGCCAGGCTGGTGTCGAACTTCCGACCTCAGGTGATCTACCTGCCTTGGCCTCCCAAAGTGCTGGGATTACAGGCATGAGCAGCCGTGCCTGACCATTTTATGTGTTTTAAAACTTCGTGTCAATGCAATTGTAGACTTCTGCAATGCCATTGTAGACTTCTGGTAATATATGGGATGCTGGTGCATCTACTTTCACTGACCTATGGTGTTCCCCTGTATCAATACACCAGGACCCATGTGTCCATTGTTCAGGAGATGGACACGGAGACCATTTCCAGTTCCTCACTGTTACAAACAGGATAGCGAGCATTCTTGCGTTTATCTCTTTATTCCAAGTCGGAGAGTTTCTCTAGAGCATACGCCCACCCACTAGTAGAAGGACTGCACTTCATACACACTGATACGACTTTTCCAGTTAGCTGAGGTTTTTATGGAGTCCTTTATGCTTGCCATTTCCCCCTCCCTGGGTAAGGCTGCTTTTCTCTTCTGGAGCTGGTCACCTGTCTCTCCCCACTGATGAACAGAGAGTTACAGCAGGCATCACCTTTCCCTTGTACGGCCACCTCTGTCCACCTCTGTCTCCTCTGGCTGCTCCATGGCAAGTCCCCAGCCCCAGTTCCCTTCTGCCAGCATGGTCTTGGCCAAAGTGATGGTCCCGAGAAAGGTGTGGTCGACTTTAGCTGTAGTGGTGCCTGCCTGAGTTAGGGAGTATTTCAGAGCTCACAAGAGATTAGGGAGGTAAAGCATGGGGCTAAGGGATAGTCCTTGTTGGAGAAGAAATAGCATGAACAAAGGGTGGGAAGCTGGAAGCCAAACAAGTGTATGGTCTCTGTTTTATAGATGGGAACCTGAAGCCCAGAGATGGCAAGTCACTTCCTCAAAGTCACAGAGCAACGCAGAGACTATCAGCTTCATCCTTATTGGTTGGTCATTCATACATTCATTTGGTACATATTAACAAAGTGCCTAGGCCAGGCGCAGTGGCTCACACCTGTAATCCCAGCACTTTGGGAGGCTGAGGCAGATGGATCACCTGAGGTCAGGAGTTCAAGACCAGCCTAGTCAACATGGTGAAACCACACCTATACTAAAAATACAAAAATTAGCCGGGCATTGTGGTGGGCACCTGTAATCCCAGCTACTCAGGAGGCTGAGGCAGGAGAATCAATTGCAGCTGGGAGGCAGAGAGCCGAGATTACACCACTGCACTCCAGCCTGGATGACAGAGCAAGACCCTGTCTCAAAAAAAAAAAAAAAAAAAAAAGAGAGAGAGAGAGAGAGAGAGAGGGAAGGGAGCATCACTTGAATAAGCCCACGGAGAGACCCTGTCTCTACAAAAAATTAAAGAATTAACTGGGCATGGTGGCATGCGTCTGTGGTCCCAGCTACTCAGGAGGCTGAGGCAGAGGATTGCTTGAACCCAGGAGGTCGAGGCTGCAGTGAGCCATCATTCCACCACTGCACTCCAACCTGGGCGACAGAGGATGACCCTGTCTCAAAACACAATACATGCCAGGCACGGTGGCTCACGCCTGTAATCCCAGCACTTTGGGAGGCTGAGGCAGGTGGATCACCTGAGGTCAGGAGTTCGAGAGCAGCCTGACCAACATGGTGAAACCCCGTCTCCAAAAAAAAAAAAAAAAAAAAAGCCGAGTGTGGTAGTGCATGCCTGTAATCTCAGCTACTTGGGAGGCTGAGGCAGGAGAATCGCTTGAACCTGGGTGGTGGAGGTTGCAGTGAGCCGAGATCGCACCATTCCACTCCAGTCTGGGCAACAAGCGGGAACTCCGTCTAAAACAAAATCAGCCGGGTGTGGTAGCGCATGCCGAAGCGGAGGCTGCAGTGAGCCGAGATCACTCCACTGCACTCCAGCCTGGGCAAGAGAGCAATACTCTGTCTCAAACACACACACACCCCCCAAAAACAGCTCCTACTCTGTGCCATGCATTGTTTTAAGGGCCCACTATTTATAGCTATACAGGTGAACCGCATGTCTGACAGTGATCCTATAAAATTGTAATACCGAATTTTTACGGTACTTTTTCTATGAGTAGACACACAAGCGCCTACATTGTGTTACCGGACAGTAACCTGCCGCACAGCTGTGTGGCCCAGGAGCCGCCGGCCACCTTACAGCCCAGGTGCCCGCAGCCCTGCCACGTAGGTGTGAGTGATGTTGCTCTAGGATGTTGGCAGGATGACGACATCGCCTGAACACACACTGCCCAGATGGTATCAGTGTCGTTAAGCGAAGGATGGCTGTGGCGAAACAAACAAACAAGCAAACAAAGACCGCCTGTTCTGAGTGCGGAGCTTATTATTCTGGGCGTAATTATGATGAATTGTTAGTTACGTTTGCCTGCAGGATTGAGGTAAGGGGTGATCCCAATTAGGGGGTGCCCCAGGGGAGCGCCCCAGGAGTCAGGGCTTGTCTCAAAAGCCCCCGCTCCTCCCTCAGCCTCCCCTCCATCCGACCCCATTCATATCGCGGGAAGGTCCCACAGAGTGGCTGTGGATACTCCCGAAACGCAGCGGTGTAAACGGGGAGGGAGGGAGAGAGACAGTGGTCTGGGAGGGAGACTGAAGAGCCCTTTGTAGCCAGGCAGAGCTGTCAATAAAGTTTCGTCGCCTTAGTAACCGCAGGCTTCGCGGCGCGGGAGGGGAGAGGGATGGCGGTGCGCGCAGTCACCGCCTTCCTCCCGCCCGCTCCGGCTTTCTCCCTCCTGCGGCTGAAGCTCTCTTCAGAGAAAGAGAATAGGGAGGCCGCAACTCTATGGTGATGGACGGATGCCTTACCCAATGGAAAGAGGAGCTGTCCCAAGGCCAGCCAGTCATATACGACTGCTGGTGCTGGCAGAGCCCGCCCTCTTTCCACTTGGACCTGAATAACCCGACCCAACCCGAGTTTCGCCCGGAGCGACTGCGCTTTCGGCCAATGAGTGCGTCGATTTCAGGCCGCAGTGGGAGAGGAGGCGGGACACGTCGCTATGAGAGAGACTGAGGGACAGCGATGTCAACCACTGACAACAGTTCGCGGCGCTTGACGGTGGCGGGGGCGTGGCGGGATTTTATCTGGGTACTGAGGAGGACCGGGCGGGGAAAGAGTGGGGCTTGACCAATGGGAGCGCCGGAGCTTCGTAGCAACGGAGGAGTGGCGGTAGCCGTGACCAATAGAAACTTCAGTGGCCTTGGCGGGGCGGGCCCGGCGAACAGATGGGAGGTGCGGCGACAGTGTTTGACGAGAGCTGAAGGAGGCAGTGGGAGGTGTTGGCGGCGGCGGCGCGGGCGCCTGAGGAGGAGGAGGAGGAGGAGGAGAAGCGGGTGAGGGGCGGCGCGGGGCCCGATCTCTGAGCCCCTTCACGGCCCCAGCCCCGCGCCGCCTTGGCTCCCAGTCGCCCCCTGCCCCGACTGCCCCCCACCCCGCCCGGCCCCTCCTCGTGTCCAGGCACCCACGTCTCCCGGCCCCTCGCCGGGCCTCGGGCTTCGCGGCACCGCAGCCTCCTTCCTGTGCTTCCTCACCCGGGCCCTGACCCCCTTCTTACGTCCACAGCCCTCCCTGCATCCTCAGGGCCTCTCCCTGACCTCCTGTCACTCTCCAGGCCTCTCCCTGCACCCCCAGGCCTCCTCCTGCACCCCCCAGGGCCTTTCCCTGACCTCACCCTCCAGGCTTCTCCCTGCACCCCTAGGCCTCTTCCTGCACCCTCAGGGCCTCTCCCTGACCCCTCTCTCACCCCTGGGCCCTACCTGCACCCCCAGGGCCAATCCCTGACGTCCTCTCACCCTCCAGGCTTCCTCCTGGACCCTCTAGGTCTCTCTGTGCCCTAGAACCTCTCTCTAACCCCTCTTCCCCTCTCCTGGCTCTCCCTGGACCCTGAGGTTGGCCTCTGACCCTCCAGGTCCCTTGCTCTGGGCTCTCACCGCCCACCCAGGCCCCTCCCTGGGCCCCCAGGCCCTTCCCTAGGGTCTCCCTTTCCTGGATTCCCCAGGACCCCACCAAGCCCCGTCTGGATCCCTAGGCCCCTGTCGGCCCTCTCAGGCCCCTCACTCACTGGACACCCAGGATCTTCTCCACCGTCCCTGGGTCGCCCCCCCACCCAGGTCTCCCGTCTGGCTCCTCCCTGGGTCCCTAGGCCTTTCCCCGCACTCTGCCCTCCCTGGCACCCCCTTCCCTTCCTCACACCCCTCTGAGCGCCCCCAGGCCCGGCTGCAGCCTTCTGCCCCGCATGGCTTCCTGCCGTGCCCACCGCTGTGCGTTTCTGTCCTTGCCCCCAGTCCCCTCTCCAGCTTCCCCGCCGTCCCTGGCGCCCTCCCGCAGCGCCCCCTCTTTCTCTTCTGCAGCCTCCCAGTCTGTCCCCGACCCCTCTACAGCCGTCTCTGCAGCTCCCGCTCCTTCTCCTCCACTCCCGGGCGCAGATGAGCCTGGGGTGCCCTGGTGCAGGGATGAGGCTGGCCTCCGTCCGGGTTAGGGGTTTGGGTGGTTTCTTTCATCTCTCCATTCTCTCCTGGCTCCGCTTTAAAAACATGTTTTTGTAAATGTTGACCTGTGCTGCCTCCCCATAGTCTTCCTTTGCTCCCCACCCCACCCCTGCTTTTGTCCTCTGAGCCCCCCTCCCCTGGAATCCTTGGAGAGGGAGCAGGTGCTGGGATCCCTCCCCTGCCCTCCCGCCCCTCACCCGCCTCCAGGCTGCCTGGGGCTTCACCCGGAGCCTCCTGACCACTCCCGAAGGCTGCCGGGGAGGCAGGGGGCGGAGACCGAGGCTGGGTCGTGGTGGGGGTGGAGGGCGGGACCTCGGGCTGGCGGGAAGCTTTGACTTTTCCTCCTTGAGGGCTAGAGGTGAAGCGGCTCCCCACCTTGCTAAGCCTTTAGGGTGATCCCGGCTGCCAGTCAGTCAGCCTTCCCTGGGCCCACAGAGATGGGTGTGTGGGGGGGTCTCTGCACATGGGCAGGGGCATCTGCGTGTGTCAGTCTGAATGTGCATGGGTGTGCCTGGTGCCCGTGTGCGTGTGCACGTGGGGTTGTGTGTTTACGGGGGCCTGCGTCTGCCCTGCAGAGCAAGAGGGGATAGAGATGCTAAGGTGATGGCTGACATGGCTCTGGGGTTTCCCTACTCTCAGAAGTACTTGTTGCGTTCCATCTTCGCCAGCAGCCCGGTGAAGTCTGCACTGCTTTTCTCCCCATTTTGCAGATGAGATTGTGGGGCTCGCCAGCATCCCCCACGGCTTCTGAGTAGCTCAGGAGTGGAGTCAGCACCACGCCAGGCTCCCCGCGCCTGCCTTGCCCTCACTTGTTCCTGCTCTCTAACAGAGGCAGCATGGTCCGCAGGGCACCATGGGGCCGGACAGAGTGACAGCACGAGAACTGTGCGAGAACGACGACCTGGCCACCAGCCTCGTCCTGGACCCCTACCTCGGTTTCCGCACCCATAAGATGAACGTCAGGTGAGGCGGCCTGGGGGCGAGGGCGGGCCCGAGCGGTCAGGACCCCTCCCCTTGCACCACTGCCGCCCCTCAGCCCTCTCCTCAGCCTGGTCCTCCCCTCAGCTCCAAGTGGGGGTTGGGGCCGGGGCCCGGGAAGGCCCTGGGACCCAGGCATGCCCTCTCCCCCAGCCCTGTGCCCCCACTGCGGCGACAGCAGCACCTGCGCTCAGCGCTGGAAACTTTCCTGAGGCAGCGGGACCTGGAGGCTGCGTACCGGGCCCTGACGCTGGGAGGCTGGACGGCCCACTACTTCCAGAGCCGGGGCCCGCGGCAGGAGGCTGCCCTCAAGACCCACGTGAGGGCGCCCTCCCCTCCCCCGTCCTCACCGCGTGTCCTCCCTGCTCACCGGGCTTGGTCCTGCCTGGCAGACGCTCTAGAGTCCCTCAGCGCAGCCCCTGGGGCCCCCTGACTTCCTAGCCCTTGGGACCATCTGAGGCAAGGCTCAGAGAATCCTAGGAGAGGAGAGTTGGGGGGGGCCCTCTGAGATGTACTCCAACCTCTTCATTTGACGGATGAGGAAACTGAGGCCCCGAGAGGGAACACGAGGCCCCCGAGACCACACAGTGAGTCAGTGGCAGAGCAGGCCTAGATTCCTGGAGAGAGAGGGCCACAGATGCCCCTGCCCCACCTCCTCACCCCCACCCTCACCCTCACCAGGTCTATCGCTACCTCCGTGCCTTCCTGCCGGAAAGTGGCTTTACCATCCTGCCCTGCACGCGCTACTCCATGGAGACCAACGGGGCCAAGATCGTGTCCACTCGTGCTTGGTAAGAGGGCAGGACTCCCTCCGGGCCTCCTTGGAAGAGACAGGGCTCAGAGGGGATGAGAGACCCTCTGTTCATGGACTGGCCAACCGGGGAAAAGAGAGGTGCCTGGTCCTCCGGGCATCCTAGGAAGGTAGTGGGGCTAATCCTGGAACCCCTTTGTGGCTACCAGGGTGCTGCTGGAGCGGGAGACCCCAGATGTGACCCCAGGGTTCCTGGGGCTTCCAGGAAAGAACTAGGCTTCTGCTTAGGGGTGCGTTGTCCTTACCTCATCGTGACCTGAGCCCCCACCACATGTTAAACACCCCTGAGTGCAGTGAGGAGACCCTGCCCCTGCGGGGTTCACAGTCTGGTGAGGAGGCGGGTGGCAGACAAGTCAACATGCAGTCGCTGGTCCCGGCTGGTACACGCTGCAGGGGAGCTGCGAGGAATGAGCAAGTGCTCCCAGGGCGAGGCTCACACTGAGAGGGGAAGCACCAGCCTGAGGGTCTGGTGGGGCGAGTAGCGGGGAGTCCAGACAGGAGGGAATTGGGAGCAGGAGGTGCTATGAGAGTGAGGGGAGAGAATGGGGGCTGTATCTGCTGTGTGTGTGCTGTCCTGAAGGCTTTCAGCAGAAGGGTCCTGTGAGGTTGGAGCAGGGAAGCCCACCCAGGCGGGAGGGGAAGAGGAAGATCTGGAAGACGGATCGCCAGTAGCCAGCACCAGTGCACAGGAGTCCCTGCTCCCTGGGTGCCTCTGTGCCGGAGGCCCGAGTCCCCTGAGCACCTGCAGGAGGCCAGGCATTGCCCACAGCCCCGCCCCCTGGCCTCTTGGCAGGAAAAAGAATGAGAAGCTGGAGCTGCTGGTGGGCTGCATCGCAGAGCTGCGGGAGGCGGATGAGGGGCTGCTGAGGGCTGGTGAGAATGACTTCAGCATCATGTACTCAACCCGCAAGCGAAGTGCTCAGCTGTGGCTGGGCCCAGCCGCCTTCATCAACCATGGTGAGGGTCAGGCAGGTGGGTGGGCGGGATGGGATGGGACTAGGTGGAGCTGGAGGGATGTAGTGGGAGGGTTTGGCGACTGAGCTCTGAGCTCACCCACCTCTCTTCTCTCTCCTGCCCCGACTGGCTCCAGACTGCAAACCCAACTGCAAGGTAAGGCCCTGGGACTCGGGAGGAGTGGCCACGTGGGAAGAAAGGGTGCCTGTGGCCTGGGGAAAGGGTTTTTGGTCAGTAAAGAACCAAATGTTGGCCGGGCGTGGTATCTCACGCCTGTAATCCCAGCACTTTAGGAGGCCGAGGCAGGCAGATCATGAGGTCAGGAAATCGAGACCATGGTGAAACCCCATCTCTACTAAAAATACAAAAAATTAGCCGGGCATGGTGGCGGGCACCTGTAGTCCCAGCTACTCTGGAGGCTGAGGCAGGAGAATGGCATGAACCCGGGAGGCGGAGCTTGCAGTGAGCCGAGATCGCGCCCTTGCACTCCAGCCTGGGCCACAGAGTGAGACTCTGTCTCAAAAATAAAAATAAAAAAAGAGCCAAATGCTGCCCCCTGTCTCCACGGCTTCCCACGGGTCCTGGAAGGAGCAGAGTGGGTATCTGGTCACAAGGCTACCAAAAAGGAGAAAGGGGCTCCAGCTTGGCCAGTGTTGCCTGGCTGTTTGTGCAGTTGCGCTGGAACCCTGGTTGCCAGCTGCTGGCCATCTTTCTTCTCTGAAAACTGAGCTGGGAGCTGTGCCAATTTGGGCAGGGAGTGTGGCAGTGAGGCAGGGCCCTGTGGTGGGAGCTCCCAGCCTTGCAGGGAGCAACACAGGCAGCTGTGGTGTCAGGAGCAGGGAGGCCAGAGAGCCCCAGGGGTCAGGGGTCACGACTCAGGATGCTGTCCAGACATACTGAGGAGAGGCCGCTGGTTGTCCTATAGCCGGGAAGCGGAAGGAACGAGGAGGGTGGGCTCCAGGAAGGCATTGAGCGCGCACCCTCTGGAGCGCAGACCTCGGTGGGGCGCCCCGGGAGGCATGACAAAGGGGTCCAGATCTTCAGCTCCAGAGTCAGAACTGAGTTGGAGTCCTGGCTATGCTACCCCTGGCCTTTGGTTTTTCATCTCGGTTGGGGTTGGTTGCCCAGGAACACTGCAGGCTGGTCAGGTGTGCCAGAGGGTTTTGGACAGTGAATGCGCGGCCCTGATCTGGTGCCACACACAGACGCTGGGTGGGATGGAAACAAAAGGCGGTACCTGGAGAGGCTCTGCAGGGCGAGTGTGCGCTAGCCACCTTGAGCACAGGAGAGGGCGGCCAGCTCGCCAGCGATCTAGAACCATCTGGCTTCACAGAAGCGACGCCATGCTGGGCATCGACAGAGAGGCAGAATTTCCCTAGGTGTTAAAGGAAATCAAGGGCAAAGGAGGGCGTCTAGCAGGACACGGCACACCAGAGGGCTGGGGGTGCCCAATGACGGCTTTGGTCGGGCAGCAAGGCCTTGTGGCCCGGGCCAGGGAGCCACGGAAGCTCCCCCCAGGGTGTTTAATGGGAAGCTTGGGTTTTAGGTCACCCTGGAGGCCCATGTGCAAGAGGCTTGGCAGGAAGGGGAGAGGCTGGAGGCAGGGTGGCCACAGAGAGGTGATGAGGGGCTGACTCCAGTAGGGGTTTCAGGGAGGCAAGGAGAATGAGGATGTGGGAGGTGACGCACTTAGGAAGTAGTGGCCGGTTGGTCTGGGGGCCGTCAGGCAGGCAGGTGGCGAGGGCTACTCCCAGGCAAATGTCAGTCTTGAGTGGATGGATAAATGGACAGTTGGGTGGACAGTGGTCATGCCCCCTTCTAGACAGGGAACAGGGAGGGAGGCACAGCTGTGTGGGGCCCAGGAGGAGCCTGCGGGGCAGCTCCTGGGTGAATGATCCCAAAGGCAGGGCCAGAGCCCACACGGATTGGGCTGTGGAGTGGAGGCGGGCCTCAGAGAAGCGGGGGCAGCCCATGGCAGGCAGAGCTCAGACCTCAGCTGCCAAGGAACAGTTTGGTGGGGGGCAGGCAGCTCAGGAGGGGATGGGCTTGGGTGTGGCAGAAGAGGTGGGGCTTGGCACCAGGCCACAGAGGCTGGAGGGAGCGGTCAGCACTGCTGGCACGGCATGCTGCCAGAAGGTCAGGTTAGATCATCGTCCTGCAGGGAGGGGTGGAAACCAGCCGGTGGGTGGATTGTCCAGGGGCTACAGGCAAAGGTCAGGCCCTGGGCAAGGCAGCCGCCTCCGAATGCCACTTTTAGGGGCTCGGCTGTTGCCCCATTCCAGAAGAGGATGCTCAGGGCCAGGGTGTCCGGCCAGGCGTGGGGCATGGGTGAGCCCTCCCCTGTGCCCTGGGCCAGGGCGCTGAGTGGGCTTTGCCCTCAGTTTGTGCCTGCAGATGGGAACGCCGCCTGTGTGAAGGTGCTCCGGGACATCGAGCCTGGGGACGAGGTGACGTGCTTCTACGGCGATGGCTTCTTCGGCGAGAAAAATGAGCACTGTGAATGCTACACCTGTGAGAGGTGGGGACCAGGCAAGGGGTGGGTGGGTTCAGGACATGCTGGCTGCCCCAGGCATCTGGGCTTGTTGAGCCCAGAAATGCATCCTCGGGGCCCATCCCTGATTGTGTTCAACCCCAGCCTCTCATCTCCCCTCCACCCGATCTCCCAGGAAAGGCGAAGGAGCTTTCCGAACGAGACCTAGGGAGCCTGCGTTGCCACCACGGCCCCTGGACAAGTACCAGCTACGTGAGACCAAGCGGCGGCTGCAAGGCCTGGACAGCGGCGGCCGACAGGGCCTCCTGGGCCCTCGGGTCTGCCTGCACCCGTCCCCACTGCGCCGGGACCCGTTCTGTGGTGAGCACCCCTCCCTGCCATCCCGGCAGCCCCTACCCTATGTGCTCCTGGTCATCTGTCTCCTTTCTTCTGAGCTCTCTGCCTAGCCTGGCACCCTCCCTCCCACCCTCAGCCCCTGGCAGGCCTCGCTGTTGAGTAGTTCTGCCTACATGGTTCCTCTGGGGAGTGCAGGGCAGAGCCGCCTCCTTGTCCAGAGGAGGACCGGCCCAGCTTGCACTGACTTCACCTCTCCTTTATTCCTCCTCTCCCTGCTACCTGGACCTTCACAGCCGCCTGCCAACCCCTGCGCCTGCCAGCCTGTAGCGCCCGCCCAGACACCTCACCCCTCTGGCTCCAGTGGCTGCCTCAGCCCCAGCCCCGAGTGCGGTCCCGGAAGCGCCGACGCCCCCGGCCCCGGAGGGCCCCAGTGCTCTCCACCCACCACGCCGCCCGCATCTCCCTGCACCGATGGGGAGGCTGTGGCCCCCACTGCCGCCTGCGAGGAGAGGCCCTGGTGGCCCTGGGCCAGCCCCCCCGTGCCCGCTGGGTTCCCCAGCAGGACTGGCACTGGGCCCGGCGCTATGGGCTGCCTTACGTGGTGCGTGTGGACCTTCGTCGCCTGGCCCCAGCCCCACCACCCACCCCAGCCCCTGCTGGAACCCCAGGCCCCATCCTGGTCCCGAAGCAGGCCCTCGCCTTCGCCCCCTTCTCCCCACCCAAGCGCCTACGGCTGGTGGTCAGCCACGGTTCCATCGACCTAGATGTCGACGGGGAAGAGCTGTGACAGGCCAGACGGGGAGGCCCAGCAGGGAGAGAGGGTCCCTCTCCTAGCTACTCCCCAGGACCTTCAGAAGGAGCCCTTGGACCTCTGGGAGGGAGCTGACCCTTGACTCCAGCATAGCTCTGACCCTGGAACGGGGTTGGTTTGGATGCCCCCAGGGATCTGACCCCTGACCCTTTGTGACTGCTGACCCCTGAGCCACCCCCACTCCCACAGGGAGCCCTGGCCATTTGCTGCCCTTCCCACCCCTGCCCCAGCCTCAGGACTGCAGGAGCCGTCCGCCTCCCTCAGCCCCTTCCTCCCCAGGGAGCAAAGCCATAAGGGGCAGGGGCCACCCCACGGCATCTCCTCGGAAGTACAGGCCTCAGGAGGAGGTGGAACTGACGGGGGGTGGCACTCCCCGGAGACTGTCCTCACGAGGGGACTGGGTTCGCTCTCAGCTCTGCAGCTGTCTACAGTGGGGGGAAGGTTGGGGGGTGTCTGGGGGCATGTTCCCCTCACCACCCCCTGTGGGTCTCAGGGAGGCCGGGTGCGACCTCATCTTTCTCATGGTGCTATCCTGGTGCTATCGGGGTGGGGGGCTCCCTCCCCTCCCCCACACCAGAAAGGGGTATGTTGGGGGATTGGAAGCACTTGAACTTTTTATTTTATTAAAACCTTGTTATAAGCAGCACCCTTGGCGGTGTTTGGTTTTGGCTTACGTTTTCAGGGATATGGGGAGGGTGGGACCGGCAGCTGTGCTGGTGAGAAGGGGAAGAGGCAGCCCAGGTCTGCGGCCCTGAGAGCCGTTGGGAGAGGGATTTGGGAGGGTGACGGACTAGGGGGACTGAGGCTGGAGCCCCATCCCCACTCGGGCTGTGCTTATAAAAATGCCTTCAGACCCATCCTCTCCTGGGAGCGGGTCCTCCCATTTTCCAGGCGAGGCCAACAAGGTTTAGCAAGCAGAGTGACTTGCCAAGGCCACATGGGGACTTGAGGGCTTTTGAGGGCCCTTCTCCCTTCTGGCACTTCTCAGTGAGAGGCCCCTCCCACATCTCAGTCCAAACAGAGAGAGACTGGTGGGGGCTGGCTGAGTGGGGGTGTGGGGGCTGCCCGGGACACCAGAGCCAGGCCTGGGGGAGGCGGCGCTGACGGGGCCTTCCTCAGCTGTGGCATCTTGGACTTTGTGGTGTCTGAGACCAGGATGATGCATCTTGTTTCTTAAGGTCCAATCCAGGATCTGGATTTTGCCGGGGCGTCTTAACTCTCCTTGTAATCTCGTTTTGCAAAAGGACTAACTGGCTGACTGTGAGCACTCCCTGATCCCAGGTACCTCCAGCTTCTCACAGACACTTTTCTCATTGGGGCCACCGAGCCTGTCTTACTTGGGCAGCTACAGGTCACCTGCTGGCTCCAGGACCCCCCTGCGCACCTCCACATCTGCCAGCCTTGAACAAGCTTACTGTGGAGGCGGACGAGGCCAGGCCGCAGGTATCAGGGAACTCTCCTCGGCCCTGGTGGAGAGGGAGCAACGGGGGAGGAGGGGCCACAGCGAGACCCATATGAGCACCTCTGCGGTGGCCCTGGGAGGTGGGGACAAGGGGGCAGTTGAGAACGGGTCAAACCTTGTTTACTTTAAAACTCGTTTAGATACATTGGATAATATGGCCTGTTCTATTTCTTTTGCAGGGAGAAAATTCCTCTTTCTTATAGTGCAAATCCTGCTAAACCCTGTTTGTTTTCTTTCTCATGTTAAAAATAAGGATGGAGAGAGCTCCAGGTCGTCAAACGGCAGAGAGATGGCTCCAGTAGCAGTCCCCAGGGATTTGTCTCTGAATAATGAACTGAAGCCATGCCGTTCGTTTCTTTCCTTTTTTTTTTTTTTTTTTTTTTTTTTTTTTTGAGACAGGGTCTCGCTCTGTGGCCCAGGCTGGAATGCAGTGGCGCCATCTCGGCTCACTGCAACCTTCGTCTCCTGGATTCAAGCAATTCTCCTGCCTCAGCCTCCCGAGTGGCTGGGACCACGGGCGCACGCCACCCCGTCAAGCTGATTTTTAAAATTTTTTGTAGCGATTTTGTCTCACTGTGTTGCTCAGGCTGGTCTCAAACTCCTGAGCTCAAGCAATCCTTCTGCCTCCGCCTCCCAAAGTGCTAGGATTACAGGTGTGAGCCACCATGCCCGGCCTTTTGTTTCTGAAATTCAGGTGCTGTTGCAACAGCTCTTAGAAAAAGAGGGCAGCAGAGCAGGGAGTCTTAGCTGAGGACTCATGGGTGGACGTCGGAACTTCCAGGAACGTTCGGAAACCTCCAGTGCACGTTTTTTACAGGGAGTTCAGAGCGTTCATCACATTCTCACAAGTTTCTATATCTGCCCCACCCCACCCCCAACAAAAAGGGCTAAAAACCAGGGGCAAGCCAGGTGCGGTGGCTCACACCTGTAATCCCAGCACTTTGGGAGGCCAAGGCGGGCGGATTGCCTGAGATTGGGAGTTTGAGACCAGCCTGACCAACATGGAGAAACCTCATCTCCACTAAAAATACAAACTTAGGCAGGCGTGGTGGCGTATGCCTGTAATCCCAGCTACTCGGGAGGCTGAGGCAGGAGAATCATTTGAACCCGGGAGGTGGAGGGCGTTAAGAAACTGGCGATCAGGGTTTCCCGGCCTCCATGCTGCTGCCATGCCGAGCTGGTGTTTCTGGACAGGGCGTGTCCTCTCCTATGCATTGCAGGATGTTGGGCAGCTTCCCTAGTCTTCACCCACTAGATGCCAGGAACATACCTCCGTCCCAACCAAAAATGTCTCCAGACCTTGCCTGATGTCCCCATGGGGGCCAGAGTCAGCTTCTGGCTTGAGCCGGGCAGCAGCTCAAGTGGTGCTGGGGGAGGGGAGACGCCAGGACCATAGTGATCATTCCCTATCCTTGTTGCAGCATGATGGTCGGGACAGCCTTAGGGGCTTGGGCGCTCTCAGAGTCATGTCGCCCACGCAGACAGGAGCCGGCCTGGGGAGGGTAGGTGTTTTGCTTGGGGTCCCTCAGCTGCGGGGGACCCTGGCTTCCACGAAGTTTGAGGAATTCATGCTGGCACTTCCCAGCTGGCAGGACCTGGGGGCATCCTGGTGCAGCCGGGGCCTGGGGTCATGAGTTCACCAAGGTAGCTCAAGAACGGGAAGAAACGGTGGTGGCGGAGGGTCCTCTGGTCGAAGCCTGGGCCTGAGAACCCCGTCATACACTTGGAGGCCAGAGCAAGGGAAACAAGGAACTCGGAGGCTGGTGGCTGTAGGTGAAGGTGGAAGGAAGTTTATTGAAACAGGAAACCCTGACGACCAGGGCTGACCTGGGTGTGTGGCACTAGAACTGCTCTCAGCGTTTGGCTGGCAGGCAGCCAGAGCCCTAGCCAAGGACTCCCCACCCTGACCCCGTGTCTCCCTGCGCGGGCGCGCTCTGACTGCAAGCTAGTCAACCAGATGCCTCCAAGAGCTCCAGGACCGGTTTCTGGGGCCATCCCTGGGCTGTCTGTCCGGTCGATCAGTCCCACTGTCCAGTAGGAGATGGGGCACCAGAATTGAGCCGACATGCTGATTCGAGTGACTCAGATTGTCCCTCTGGCTAGAGACCCCACACACTGAGAAGAGCCAGACACTGCTCTGCTTTGTATGTTTTCACATCGCCGTCCTCCCCACAGCCCTAGGAAGTGGAGGTGTCAGTATTATGTCATTGTTACCATATTTCAGATGAAAAGACCACAGTGCGGAGGGGCTAGCGAACTCGTCCCAGGCAACATGGTTAGTAAGCTTCAGGGCCTGGACCGAACTCATTTTCAGAACCGTTTGGGCTCTGCCGCCTTCAGGATGGGGAAGAGGGAAACCCAGAGAGAGGGGGCGAAGTTGCGCCCCTAGGAGCCAAGGGACAGTGAGTAGGAGAGGCAGAGCAGGTGGCCTTCAGGATCCATGATCTGGAGGCTGGGAGGACAGAGCAGGTTCTGAGGGAAGAACTGCAGAGGGAGGGGATGATGGGAGGATTGAAGAGATGGGGCTGGAGGAGGAGAAAGAAGTGGGGAGGAGGAGGTTGAGCGAACAAGGATGCAGGTGTTCTGGGTGGGGCAGGAATAAGTGGAGTGGCCTCAGTTTCTCTGACCTGGGAGGTTGCCGAGTCTGTGAGGCTGGCACTGGGGGTCTCAGGACGCGGCTGCTAGACACCAGAGAAAGCCAGCTGGAGCACATGTTGGAGGTGTTTGGAGTTTGCACATGTGATGGTCCACCAGGCTGTAGGCCAGGCCGGGCAGGTCTGCCCCTGCCCCTGGCTCAGGCATCAGTGGGGCAGTGGCAGCTGCAGAAGGGGTCGGGAGTGTGAGAATGTGCTGAGATGAGGTCTGGAAGCAGTGAAGAGAAGATGGGAGGGGGAGGAAGAAGGAAGGCTGGCCAACAGCGCAAAAATGGGTTCTAGACACGGCTCTGGGGAGGTCACGAGGCAGTTGTGGCTGCACAGGTGTGGTGCCCTGTGCTTGGGATGTTACCTGGGTGACCTCACCAACTTAGCTCCATTCTGTGACTCAGAGAGGGGTCCTGCCCCCGTGGTTCTACCAGCGCCTCTGTGCCTGCGGCAAGGCTCTGGGGACGTTGCATGAACAGGAAGCCCTCCTGTAGCTGAGTCCACACCCTGTACCCTCACCCCATTCTTGGGTTGTGGTCAGAGACGGAGTCAGGAGGCCAAGATCTCAGAGGTGGCGTCATCCTGGGAGATGGCCCGTCTAGGGTGTGTCCTGGGCAGCGTGGAGGGCAGGTGATGGACAGGTCATCATGGAGCAGGGAGCAGGATGGAGTCAGTCCTCTGAGCTCACCCAGCTCCACCTCCTCTGATAATGGGGCCCTGAGCCATCTTAGCTTGCCTTGGGGAACCTTGGGTTCACACAGGTCAAGAAGCTTGTCTAGGGTCACCCTGCAAGTTGTCATGATTAGTTGTAGTCACCTTTGAACCCTGGGGTTGAACGGGGCCTCAGAGGACCGCTTCAGTCAGAGGTTGGGCCTTCCCCCTCCTAAGAGCCCCTTTGGGAGGCTGATAGTTCAGGGAGCACCAGTTGGGAAAACCAGCACCCCAGGCTGACTGGTCTCACGGCTCCCTCCGCAGGACCAGGCTAGAACCCTAGGGATCTGTGCCAGGATGGGGAAGGAGTAGAGAATGATTCCGAGGGAGCTCTGAGCGTCCTCTGGGTGCTGGCAGTCTGGCGGGGGTCACGGGAGAAATTGCGGCGATATGTGTGGTAGGAGAGACCGACAGCGGCCTCTGCGGGGTGGGGGTGCGGGGTGAGCCTGATGCACTGGAGAACCGAGCAGGCTGCTACTCCTGGCTGTGGGTGTGGGTGCCAAAAGGGTGGACACCAGGGGACTCTGTTGGGAATAAGCTGGCTCCCGTGATGGGGCTCTCGATGTTCTGGGAGGGGAATGAGCCAGGTGGGAAGGGAGTGGTGGAGAGTCCAGAGAGAGTGGGGGAGGGAGGGATGGAGTCAGCTTTGGGTGGTACAAAGAAGACCCCTCAGGACCCCAGATGGGATGGATCGGGGTGGGATGGGGAAGGAGCCTGGGGAGATGGTGCAGGCAGGAAGGGAGTAGGGGAAAGACTGAGGTGAGAGGTAGGTGTGGTGATTGAGAGGCAGGAACACCTTGGAGCCATCTAGGTGGGACAGTGTTGAGAACTGGGGACCCTGAGCTGGCTCACAGCTGTCAACATGAGGCATCTACCTGCTGGAATGGAGAGGGAGAAGGACGGGAGGCACTCGGCTTCCTATCTTAGGGCCCTGACTGCCGTCTCTGCCTGATGGAGCAGCAGTCCTTCACCTGCCCCTTATTAGAAAAAGCAGTGTTAGCCCGGACACAGGCACAGGGAGGATCCCCACCACCACCACGACGCACCGCTGGCTGGGCATGAAGAAGGAACATCAGCAACAGCATAACATTATTCGTGGCTTAGACACTGGGAGGTAGGGGTGGATAACCGAGGCCGGGCCTCCGCAAGACAAAAAGATGCAGGGTCACTGCATCTTCAGAGGAGGCCGCGCCGGGGCAGTCAGATTTTGCCGGCGAAAGTCCCGTTCTTGATCTGCTCATTCCAGCTCTCCACCTGGGAAGCAGAAAGGCAGGGAGCGGGACGCCGGCTCAGCCTCAGCCGAGCCCTCCCCACGCCTGGCCCGGCGCCCCCTCTGCCTACTCACCCAGCTGGTGGGGCACAGCGAGTGGTACACGCGGTAATAGTACTCGCAGGGCTGCGTGCTCTTCCCACGGCGGGTCCTGATCTTGAGGCAGCGGTGGTAGTCTGTGGGGGGCGGGGTCACGCGACAAGCCACACCCATTCCAGGACAGGATCCGCCCTTCCACTACTCGGTCCCTCCCAGTTCTTCCCTGCTTCGCCCCGCCTCCCTCTACCCCCGAGGCCTCCATCCCGCCCCTCCCAGCCATGCCCCAACCCCTGCCTCCCTCACACTGCTCCTCCTAGCCAGACCCTGCCCCTACCTACCTCGCCCCACACCTTCCAAATCAGGCCGTGCGCCTACCAACCTCGCCCCGCCCCGCCCCTCCCGGCTCAGCCCCGCCTTTTCGCGGCCCGGCCCCGCCCCTATCAACCTCGCCCCGCCCCGCCCCTCCCGGCTCAGCCCCGCCTTTTCTCGGCCCTGCCCCGCCCCTACCAACCTCTCCCCGCCCCTCCCAGCTCAGCCCCGCCCCCACCAACCCAGGCCCGCCCTGCCTCCCACCCTAACGGTCTCCACGGGACTTCGGGTGGGAGTGGCCCTCCCTGCCTTCCCTCGTCACACCCTGCTCCCCCCATAACCTGGCTGAGCAGGTCTCACCCAGGAAGTTCTGGTAGCAGTTACGGGTCTGGTTCTGGTTGGGGAAGCGCGGGTCGAAGGGCGGCGTCGACCATTTCCCCTTGGGGGGCTCCTGGGCTTCCACATCCAACATCCTAGAAGGAGGCAACTTCTGCGGGACGGGACGGGGACTCCGTGGGGCCGAGGGGGCGCCCTCGCTCCGACCCGTCCCCCCATCCAGACCCCCGCCCCTCAACCCCACCCGTCGTGCCCTCACCAGCCTGACGTCGGCGGCCACTGGATCTGCTGTAGGACGGTCCCCGGGTGCCGCTGGCTTCTGAGTCCGCGGGGTGCGGTGGCCCCAGGCTCAGGAGAAACGCACCCGCGGCCAGATTGGCTCGGACGCCCGAGCCCCAGCCAATGGGAGCAGTCGTGCGCCGCGGGCCTGGTAGGGGCGCCCCCACCCACCCCTCGCTCCCTGACGCCCCCTCGGGGACCCGCGCGCGCAGGCACTGAGGTGCGACCTGCTGAGTCTCAGACTCAAGCTTTAATCTCTGCGAAGTTGGGCGGCTCCACGGGCTCGCCCCGCCCCCGCCCCCCAATATATAAAGGCATATCGATAGTTCTGGTATCTACCGGACGGGGCGAATCCCCCCAAGCGGCCTTTCAACATTCCGCTTCTTACAGTCGGTGCGCACAGAACCCTGGGGGCCTGTGGAGTTAAGAGGAAAGAGTGGCGGTGGGGTCAGGGGTCCTGGGACCCCCCTTCCCCCCCGTTCCTCCCCTCTGCCCTCCCCCCAGCCCTCCCCCATCCTCCTCCTCTCGGTCCCCTCTCCCCCGCCACCTCCAGGGTCTTAAAGGGTACCTGGCAGCGCTGGGCTCCTCCGGACAGTTTCCGACTGGGGTTGAGCCCCACCCCCCGCATCCAGCTACTCAAAGTGCTGGGAGTGCTGCAGGCTGCAGGGAGAAAGCAAGCAGAGAGAACTTTGGGGGACAGGGTAGGGAGAGAGGGGTACCCAGGGCTTTAAGAGCTGCAGATACCCGGCTTAGGAATCTGGGCAGGTGGTTTCACCTCTAGAACCCTGCTAAGCTTCTCTCCCTCCTGCCTGGTTAATATCAGGCCTGACTCAGGATTGGTCACTCTGGCAGCCAAATGTACGAATTAAGAATCCCGGCCAGGTGCGGTGGCTCATCCCTGTAATCCTAGCAGTATGTGGGGCGGAGGCGGGAGGATTGCTTGAGCCCAGGAGTTTGAGACTAGCCTGGACAACATGGTGAAACCCCATCTCTACAAAAAAAATACCAAAGTTAGCCAGGCGTGTTGACGCATGCCCGTGGTTACAGCTACTCAGGAGGCTGAGGCAGGAGAATCATCTGAGCCTGGGTAGGTTGAGGCTGCAGTGAGCTGTGATGGCATCACTGCACTTCAGCCTGGGCAACATGTGAGACCTCGGTTTTGTTTTGTTTTGTTTTTGTTTTGTTTTGTTTGAGACTGAGTCTCACTCTCTCTCCCAGTCTGGAGTACAGTGGCACCATCTCCGCTCACTGCAAGCTCCGCCTCCAGGGTTTACGCCATTCTCCTACCTCAGCCTCCCCAGTAGCTGGGACTACAGGCGTCCGCCACCACGCCCGGCGAATATTTTGTATTTTTAGTAGAGACGGGGTTTCACCGTGTTAGCCAGGATGCTCTCTATCTCCTGACCTTGTGATCCACCCGCCTCGGCCTCCTAAAGTGCTGGGATTACAGGCGTGAGCCACCACGTCCAGCCTGAGACCTCTTTTCTACAAAAAATCAAAAACTTGGCTGGGCTTTTGGAGGCTGAGACAGGAGGATCACTTGAGCCCAGGAAGATTGAGGCTGCCGTGAGCCATGATCACACCACTGCACTCTAGCCTGGGAGAGAGAGCAAGAGACTCTGTCTCTAGAGACTGCACTCTAGCCTGGCGATAGAGCTCACCTCCAACCACTCCCTTTCCTCCACACCAGGCCCCTGGCCTCCAACCATTCACTTTCTGTCTCTATGGGTTGGCCTGTTCTGGGGATTTCATGGAAATGGGGTCTCTGCGGCCTTTTGTGTCTGGCCCCTTTCATTTGGCATGGTGTTTCTGAGGTGTTGCAGCCTGGAGACACCCCTCTCTCCACACTCTCCTGACTGCTCCCATCAGGACTTCAACCCCAACCCCGCATCACTTCCACACTGGTAAATCCAGAGGTGTGACCCCAGGCCCCGCTTCCTTCACCTGACCACAGCGTTTGACACCGACGTTCCCTCCCCGCCTTGTCGCCGTCTCCACATGGTGCTGAGATGCCCCCGTCTCTGGCTGCTCTGCTCTCCCTGACTCTGGCTCCTCTTTGCCCAAACACCTCAGACTTTTCTCCACCTCCACTCACTCGCCGGTGAATTCCTCCAATCTCACAGCCTGAGCTAACCTGTCTGTGCACCAGTGACTCCCCAAATTGCCTCCCCTGAGCTCCAGACTCGTGTCCAACTGCTTACCCTGCATCTTCCCTGACACCTCAGAATCAAGGTGTCCGAAAGAGAGGCGTTCCTGCGCGCCTCCCAGAACCTACTCCCCTGCACTGCCGCCGCCCGCTCCGGGCATCTCGAACCCACATCCTCCCAGCCGTCTTCAAGTCAGCCTTTCTCTCACATCACAAGCCCCGATCCGTGAAGCAATCTATTGGCTCACTCTTCAAAGCATCTCCAGAGTCCCCCGCTTCTCCACACCTCCATCACCTCCCGTCTTGTGCAAGCCACCATCATCTCCTACCTGGGTTCCTGCAGCCGCCTCCACCCTGTCCTCCAGGCGCCCACTCTTGCCCCCTCTACATCCTCCACGCCCCAGCCAGAGGCAGCCTCTTCACACATAAATCAGTCCCCATTATTCTTCTGCTCCAAACCCTCCAGCTTGCTCAGAGTCAAAGCCAAAGTTCCTAAAATTGTCTGCAAAGTCCTCCGTGATGGGCGTCCCCCTGCTGCGCCTCTGACCGAGTTTCCACCCTGGGATCCCCGTGGTCCAGCACATTACAAACACTCCTGCCCCAGGGACTTTGCAGTGGCCATTCCTTCTGCTGGGATGCTTTCCCTGCAGATGGCCTCATGGCTTCCTCCGTCCTCTCCTCCAAGTCTTCACACAAACCACTCCAGCTCAATGAGGCCTCCCTAGACCACCTGGGCTGTGGTGGGGGCTGTCCTGTGCACTATAGGATGCTGAGCAGCATCCCTGGTCTCTACCTGCTAGAAGCCAGGAGCACATCCCACCACCACCAGCCCCATGGTCAGACGCTGTATCCCCACTGCCTAGAACAATGCCTGGCACAGAGTCGGCACTCACTATGTATCAGAGTGAAAGGGGGCCGAGTGTGGTGGCTCACGCCTGTAATCCCAGCACTTTGGGAGGCCAAGGCAGGCAGATCACTTGAGGTCAGGTTCAAGACCAGCCTGGCCAACATGGTGAAACCCCGTCTCTACTAAAAATACAAAAATTAGCCGGGCATGGTGACACACACCTGTAATCCCAGCTACGCAGGATGCCAGGAGGTGGAGGTTGCAGTGAGCCAAGATCATACCACTGCACTCCAGCCTGGGTGACAGAGTGAGACCCTGTCAAAAAAAAAAAAAAAACCGGAAAGGAGGGAGTGATCATCTCTATCTCATAAACAGCAGAGCTCACAGTAAATGCTAGCTGCTAACCCCCGCTACCTGGGTGGAAGGTTAAAGACACCCGATTCCTCCTGTATTTCCTCTGCCTTGGTGGCCGTGTTCCTCACAGTTTCAAGTTCTAAGAGCATGGGCAAAAGAATTTCTGAAGACGAGCCCACAGTGGCCAGGGGGTGCTGGGCTGGCATCTTCACGGGCTCCTGCGACAGTCTCTTGGGCTGCTGGGACGCCTTGGCTGTGGCCTCCGTCTTTGAGATGGGGGTCTCTGAGAGGGGGGATGGCGGTAAGCCCTCCCACCGTGAGGCGGGCAGGGGGATAGGCGCCTGGGAGATTCCTTCCCTCTTGGGACTGGCAGAGGTGGGCTTGGAGCGAAGGGGCACCTTGGGCGGCCCCTCGGGGTCCCAGGGTGACCCTTTACTCTCGCCCCATTGCCGCTTGCCCTCCTTCACCCAAGTGTGCAACTCTGGCTGTTCTCTGACCACCACTGGCTTCCCCTCTGGTGAGGACGGCTGGCCTGGGTGGAAGGGCATTGAAGCCATCACTGACGTGGCAGACGCCTGCGAAGTCGCCAAGAGCCAGGAGGGAAGTGAGACCAGAGAGGGTTTCACGCGCTGCTCTTTGGAGTTGGCCAGGATCGTGAGCTTGGCGAGGGTAAGCGTTTCCACGGAGAAGGGTCTGCTGAGCTCCTGGGAGGGGCCCTCGACGGCCAGCTCCTTTGTCTCGACCCATCTCTTCCGCTGCTCCAGCTCCTTGGATCTCGCGCCAGGCGGGTCCAGGGACCTCTCTTCAAGCTTCGCCAAGTGGGCCCGGTCCTCCAACTTCCCCTGGCCCCCGAAGACCTCCAGGGTCACCTCCTGGGTTTTGCTAACCAGGATGTCCTTGGACTCCTTCTTGGTCACGGTGAAGGGCGACTCCAGGGACTTGACCTGAGTCGTCATCACCACGTCTGTCTCCTGGGTGCCCACCGTCACCGCTGGCACCGTCACCGCTGGCTCCGGTCTCCCTCCAGACGGGCTTCTCTCCAGCGCAGCTCTTCCAGGGATTCCTGTTGGCAGCACGTCGCCAGGGAGCCTCCCCCGTGAGGCAGGCGAGCCCGGTGCCATCTGGTACTGGGGAGGTGAGGTCTGCAGAGCCTTTTGGGACGGGGCAGGGAGAAGCAGAGATTTCCTCTTCGGAGCAGTGGGGGACACAGCCTTCTGGGGAATGGTAGGTACAGATGGGGCCTTCTGAGATGGGGGTGGGGTCTTCTGGGGTGGGGCAGGTACAGCTGGGGCCTTCCAGGGAGGAGCTGATGCAGCTGAGACCTTCTGGGGAGGAGCCAATCCAGGTGGGGGCGTCCACGAGGAAGCAGGTACAGCTGGGAGCTTCTGGGACTGGTCAACGAGGAATGGTGCCTTGCGAGATGTGACAGGGCCCGTCTGGCAGGGTGGTGGCCCCCGCCCCTGGTGGGAGCCCATAGACCTGGCCTTTTCCCTGCCCCTGGGGATGGAAGAGTAGGGTGTGGAGAGGCGGGCAGCCGGGGGATAGGGAGCCAGGCCGGAGGCAGCAGATGACAAAGTGCTGCTCTCAGAATCCATGAGGTCTTCCATGTCCTGATGCCACAGGCACGGGTCCAGGGAGCTGCCGGAGCCCAGAAAGAAGCAATCAGGGCTGTCAGCTGAGACACAGTACGAAGGGCTCTCAACCACAGGTCCCTGGCCTGTGGCCTCCTCAGATGCAGATGTGCAGGCCTGTAGATGGACAGAGGGGAGAGGATGCATGGTCAGGATGCATGGAGACCCCAGACCCGGGAGGGCAGACCCCAGCCCCTCCTCCCTCAGACCCAGGAGTCCAGACCCCCAGCCCCTCCTCCCTCAGACCCAGGAGTCCAGACCCCCAGCCCCTCCTCCCTCAGACCCAGGAGTCCAGCCCCCCGGCCCCTCCTCCCTCAGACCCAGGAGTCCAGCCCCCACCCCTCCTCCCTCAGACCCAGGAGTCCAGCCCCCACCCCTCCTCCCTCAGACCCAGGAGCCCAGACCCCCAGCCCCTCCTCCCTCAGACCCAGGAGTCCAGCCCCCACCCCTCTTCCCTCAGACCCAGGAGCCCAGCCCCCACCCCTCCTCCCTCAGACCCAGGAGTCCAGCCCCCACCCCTCCTCCCTCAGACCCAGGAGTCCAGGCCCCCAGCCCCTCCTCCCTCAGACCCAGGAGTCCAGACCCCCAGCCCCTCCTCCCTCAGACCCAGGAGTCCGGGCCCTCAGCCCCTCCTCCCTCAGACCCAGGAGTCCGGGCCCCCAGCCCCTCCTCCCTCAGCTCTGGGGCCTGGGCCCCGCCCCGGGTATAAGGCTGGCCTTTGGAGAGGACTGTGTCTGCTTGGCCGTGCTGGAAATGATGCTGAAGATGGTCCAGATGGTGATGCTGGTCTTCTCTGGATGGGGGAGCAGTCTGAGCCCTTTGGGGCGGGAACCAGAGCCACGCAGTGTGGCAGGGGGTGGGGTAGGTTGATCTTACCAGAAAAGTGGACTTGGGTGTGAGTTCTGTCGGGGTGGAAGTCTGGGTGGGACCTGCAGGAGCAATACCGTGGGACTTTGGTGGCATCTGGGCTGGGGTCTCCCACCTTCCCCCACCCACCCACCGGCAACAAGACCCCACGCCCACTTCTTTTCTGCAGGTTTCTTCCCGACGTCAGCATGCTCCAGCTGCGACCAGATGAGGGGCACAGAGTCGCCCACGGCCTGAGACTTGAAACTGCGCTTGAGTGCCTGGCATGGGTGAGGAAGGGACGGTTAGACAGGGGCAGCCCCTAGGGCGCGCACCGCCCCGCCAGCTCACCTTGGCCTTCCTCTGTCTCCGAGTGGCCACCGGAGGCTTCTTATAAGGAAAGTTGTGCTCAGCAACCCTGACTGGGAAGAGAGAAAACATCCTGGATCAGGGACCCCAGGGGAGGGCACGAGGACCTACCCCAGGAGCTTGTGCAGGCCCCGACCGAGGGAGGGGGAAGAGCCAAAGGGTGCAACTCCATCCCTGCTGGGGGAGAACCCGACACCCAGAGGTCCTAAGAACAGCAGGGCCTGCTCACCTGCATGTCTGCTGACGGGCTGGTCCTGCGGAGACAGGAGGCAGGAGGGGCCTGGGCTTCCACATCTCCATAACCTACCCAGCCAGAGGTCTAGGCCCCCTCCTGCTCCCAGGACCCTGCGATCCAGCTCCTCCTCCCTCAGACCCAGGAGTCCAGACCCAGCCCCTCCTCCCTCAGACCCAGGGGTCCAGACCCAGCCCCTCCTCCCTCAGACCCAGGGGTCCAGACCCAGCCCCTCCTCCCTCAGACCCAGGAATCCAGACCCAGCCCCTCCTCCCTCGATTCAGGGATCCAGGCCCCAGCCCCTCCTCCCTCAGACCCAGGAGTCCCCCAGCCCCTCTTCCCTCAGACCCAGGAGTCCAGACCCCCAGTCCCTCCTCCCTCGACTCAGGGGTCCAGGACCCCAGCCCCTCCTCCCTGAGACCCAGGAGTCCAGACCCCCAGCCCCTTCTCCCTCGACTCAGGGGTCCAGGACCCCAGCCCCTTCTCCCTCAGACCCAGGAGTTCAGACTGCCAACCCGCCACCCTCAGAACCAGGAGTCCAGGCCCCCAGCCCCTCCTCCCTGAGACCCAGGAGTCCAGGCCCCCAGCCCCTCCTCCCTCGACTCAGGTGTCCAGACCCAGCCCCTCCTCCCTTGACTCAGGGGTCCAGGCCCCGGACCTAGACTTTGGGCTCTTGGTCCCAGTCCCCTGTGGATCTGGCCGGGGAGTTCCTAGGGCCTGCCATGCCCTGGGCTGTGGAGCTGGGGTCCCACCTGCAGGTGCCAGGTGGAGGCAGGTGCTTTGGCCAGGGGCACATCCAGGGGGGCCGTGCACATGGTCCTGGGGGCCCAGGTGGGAGGTGGCTCCTGAAGCAGGTTGATGAGGCGGATCCAACAGTGGAACAGGAAGCCCGCCTCGTTGTCGGGGGCGTCCAGGGCCAGGTAGTACTGGCGGCCCGAGACCAGGCGCAGCTTCAGGCGCCAGGCAGAGAGGTCATGGACGCAGAGGTGGACGAGGTCCAGGGGGATCATCCTGGGAGAGGGAGAAGGGAGCGTCTAGAGCAGGAAGGGCAGAGGGGGCGGCCAAGGGGTTGGGGGATGCGGCACCTGGTCAGCACGAGGCCCGAGCAGTCCCCATCCTCGGCAGGCTGGCCAATCAGCAAGATGTCGGGCAACACCAGGCCTGGCAGGGAGGCAGCCACGCCCATGGCCAGCCGGTTGGTTCTGTGATTCACGAACACTGGGCCCCCTTGATGGGTCACCTGGGGCAGTCAGGGAGAGGTGCTGGAACCACTCCTTCCTCCAGCACCCGCGGCCTGAGCCTCCCTCCTGATCGTCCCCTACACAGGGATGGCTAAATCCCATTCCCTCTCAAAATCCCCCAGCCCGGGTGGCCTCGCTTCCCCTCTGCCCCTCTCAGCCCCAGGGCACTGGGAGCTGGAGACCTGAACAAAGTTACTCTCGAACATGGGCAGTGCACGGAAGGGCAGGTATTCGCCCTTCTGGAGGGTCTTTTGCAGCTCCCCCAGAACAGGGACCCACTTCGGGGTGCCCTGGAGCGGCTCAGGGCGCCTCCTGTTTCGAAGCCAGATCATGGTGGCGGTGGGTGCTGGTTTAGGGACCCAGAACCCAGGTGTGCAGGCCTCCCAGCCCCGGCCCACCAGCCTTGGCCCCTGGGGCTTCACGGGTGCCTGGAGCTCAGAGTTACAGAGCGTGGAGATGCCCCAGGCTGGGAGACTCGGGCCTCGGCCATGGCCCTGCCAGGGTGGACAGCAGGGGCCGGGGGGAGGAGCCTCTGGTGGAGGGGCTTTGTGACCTCATCGGACACACAGGGGCCTCTTCCGGGAACTCTCCGGGGACCGTGGGCTCTCTTCTCCTCCAGGGATATAGCCTGGAGTTTTTTTGTGCGTTTGTTTTTTTGTTTTTTGAGAGGGAGTTTCACTCTGGTTGCCCAGGCCGGAGTGCAATGGCGCGATCTCGGCTCACCGCAGCCCCTGCCTCCTGGGTTCAAGCGATTCTCCTGCCTCAGCCTTCCCAGTAGCTGGATTGTATTTTTAGTAGAGACAGGGTTTCTCCATGTTGGTCAGGCTGGCCTTGAACTCCCGACCTTAAGTGATCCACCCGCCTCAGCCTCCCAAAGTGCTGGCTGAGATGGGTGAATCAAAACTCCGGGCCCAGGATGGGCACCCCCAACTGCAGACCCAAACTAGTGACAACACGGGGCCCCTGGAAGTCTGTCTGGGTTATTGTAAAGTGAAAATTAGGTAAAGGGTTTGAATTATCGTCCCTACTCTGCCATTGACCCTTCTCCAGGCCCTGGGTAAGACCCAAATCCCTATTGAACCTGTTTTTCCGTATCTCATGTGTGTGCCTGTTGCAAGGGTTCCTCAACACCAAGTTGCAAAGAGAGCTTTGGGAAAGAGCCAGACATGGCACAGAATCCCACTTCCACCTCTCCCTAGCTGTGTGACTTTGTGCAACAGAGTCCCTACTCCTTGTCTGAGACTCAGTTTCCCTCACCTGTAAAACAGGACGTATTCAAGGGTCCGGGGGATTTGTGTAAGTAAAAAGCCCACACTTAGTGCACAGCCCTGAGAGGCCCACTCAGCGGTCAACTTTGTCCCCTCCTGAGGGCTTATTTTTGGAGGGGAGGAGGCTGCTATTCTGTTCTTCTAAAAATAGTGTTTATTATTTTTAAAATGTGTCATGCAAAATACACAGTCATGGCAGAAATTCTGTAAAATACAGACAATCATAAACATCAAAAGTCACCCACAATCCCACCTCTCTCCTTTGACCTGGAGACAGTCCTTGTCAACATTTGGCTTATTTCCCTTTAGGGTTTTTTTTTTTTTTTTTTAATCCACATATAGAAAGAAAAACACAAAAATTGGAATCGCATCATGCAGTGGTTTTGTAGCTGTTTCATGTCAGGACATCGTTTTTTCTCTTTTGAGACAGGGTTTCGCCACGTCTCCCAGGCTGGTCTCGAACTATTGGACTTCAGTGATCCACTTGCTTCGTCCTCCCAGAGTGCTAGGATTACAGGCGTGACCACCATGCCTGGCCAATGTCAGGCTATCTTTCTATATCCGAAGCAGGCCTCTCTCCTTAGCCTCCCTGAATGCTAGTCCCTGCTCTGGGTGGCCGGGTGGCATTCCATCCACCGATGCACCATGTTGCTTAACCCTCACCTGTTGGATATCTGGATTGTTTCCAATTTGCTACGGTCAACACAGCCATAATGAACCATCTTGACCTTGCAGCTTTGTCACATACGGGTACCATTAATCGCAGGGTGACTTCTGGAACCTTCCATTAAATATTTATTGAAGACCTATATAGGTCAGGTGCGGTGGCTCACACCTGTAATCCCAGCACTTTGGGAGGCCAAGGCAGGAGGATCACCTGAGGTCAGGAGTTCGAAACCAGCCTGGTCAACATGGTGAAACCTTGTCTCTACTGAAAATACAAAAGAAATAAATAATTAGCCGGGCGTGGTGGTGCACGCCTGTGATCCCAGCTAATCGGGAGGCTGAGGCAGGAGAATCGATTAAACCCGGGAGGTGGAGGTTGCAGTGAGCTTAGATTGCGCCACTGCACTCCAACCTAGGCAACAGAGCCAGTCTCCATCTCAAAAAACAAAGAGCCCTGTGCAGTGTGGGGCCCCAGGCGAGGCTCAAACTCTGCCTCCCCAGAGCTGTCTGAGTGACTGACCCGTCTCCCAGTCCCTGCCCCGCCCACTCGGGACCTCCACCTGCCCTGCCCCAGTTACCCGAGCATCCAGCCCCAGCTCTCAGACAAGTCGCCCTCAAGTGGGTATGTATGACACATTTAATTCCTTGTTCTCCGTCTCACAAAAGTTTCTCACATTTTTGTACAAAAACCCAGGCTTCCCTTTCCCCTCCCTCCCCACCCCAACATGAAAAGTAATTGCTTAAATAAATAGTATGTATTCCTGCCCAGGCCTCGAAGGGGAGGAGCCAGGGCAGAAGTCTGTGGACACAAGAATCCGGGACCCCAGCTCCCTCCTCCTCGGGGACCCAGGAGCCCACCCCCGCTCCTGAAATAAATAAGTATAAATAAGGCACAGATGCCCCCCAGCCTCACGGAAGGACTGTCTCTAACTAGGGGGAGATAAAGGCAGGGGGATCACCTGGCTGTTTCGCCCCCAGTACCGAAATAAATAAATAAATAAGATGTGGCTTTGGAAGGACGGTGGTGGCTCTGGGCCTCGGGTCACAGCCGAGTCTTCAGCAGCAGTAGCCCCCTCACGGCCCAGTCAAGTGTCAGGTGCAGCCCCCCCAGGATGGCGTGGGCGGCCCTGATGCCCCCCCAGGTTGAGGAGGGGGGCGCCAGCGGGGGCACCGGCGGGTCTGGGGGCAGCTGGGGCAGGGCCAGGCGGGACATCTGTGGGGAGAGGAGAGAAGGTGAGCCACAGGTCGACGGTGCAGCGGGGGTGCAGGGCAGGGGCGACGTAGAGCTGCAGCTGAATCGGGGCTGGGGGACCTCCAGGCTGCTTATTCACAGGGGGACTGTGGTGTGTGGGGTGAAGTGTTTAGGCTGGGAGCTCTTCAGGGTGTGGGGTTCAGAAAATTGAGGCTGGGGTCAGGATGGGCTTCCAGAGCTAAGTGTGGGGGTTGGGGGTGAAGTCTGTGGAGTCAGGGCTGGCATCTTAGTTGCAGGTGAGGGATCAGGCCTGGGGGTTGTGAGGGTTGCCAGGGCTAGAATCTCAGCGCTGGGTTTTTGTTGTTGTTGTTTTAAAAAAAATTAACCCTCACGCCTGTAATCCTAGTACTTTGGGAGGCCGAGGCGGGTGGATTGCCTGAGCTCAGGCAATCCGGTCTCTACTAAAATAGAAAAAAATTAGCCGGGCATGGCAGCATGGGCCTGTAGTCCCAGCTACTCAGGAGGCTGAGGCAGGAGAATCGCTTGAGCCCGGGAGGCGGAGATTGCAGTGAGCCGAAATGGTGCCATTGCACTCCAGCCTAAGCAACAGAGCGCGAGACTCTGTCTCCAAAAAAAAAAAAAAAAAAAAAATTCCAAAAAAAAAAAATGGCCGGGCGCGGTGGCTCAAGCCTGTAATCCCAGCACTTTGGGAGGCCGAGGCGGGTGGATCACGAGGTCAGGAGATCGAGACATCCTGGCTAACATGGTGAAACCCCGTCTCTACTAAAAATACAAAAACTAGCCGGGCTGGTGGCGGGCGCCTGTAGTCTCAGCTACTTGGGAGGCTGGGGGGAGAATGGGTGACCCGGGAGGCGGAGCTTGCAGTGAGCCGAGATCAGCACGCATCCAGCCTGGGAGACACAGCGAGACTCCGTCTCAAAAAAAAAAAAAAAAAAAAAAAAAAAAAAAATGCCGGGCGGTGGCTCAGCCTGTAATCCCAGCACTTGGAGCGAGACGGTGATCACGAGTCAAGATCGACCATCCGGCTAACACGTGAAACCCCATCCTACTAAAAAATACAAAAAACTAGCCGGGCGAGGTGGCGGGCGCCTGTAGTCCCAGCTACTAGGAGGCTGAGCAGGAGAATGGCGTAAACCCGGGAGGTGGAGCTTGCAGTGAGCTGAGATCCGGCCACTGCACCCCAGCCTGGGCGACAGAGCAAGACTCCGTCTCAAAAAAATAATAATAATAATAATAATAATAATAATAATTAAGAGACAGAGTCTTGCTATGTTGCCCAGGCTGTCTCAAACTCATGGCCTCAAGAGGTCCTTCTGCCTTGGCCTCCCATGCCTTGGGATTACAGGAGTGAGCCACGGCGCCCGGCCAGGGCTGGGGTTTTAGAGAGTGTCTGGGGTCTGTGGGCTCGAGTGTAGGGTCAGGCCCTGGATCTCAGGGCTAAAGTCCTAGAGGTGGGGTCTCTGGGTTCCAGTTCAGGAACTCATGGGTGAGGGCTGGAGTCTCAGAGCTAGAAGTTGGAATTTGAGATCCAGGGTCTTTGGAGCTATTTGGAGCTAGGCCCAGGAACCAGAGTTTGAAGGTTTCTGGGTTCAGGGCTTTGGGGCTGGCTTTGGAAGTGAGGGTCTTGGGGCTGTACAGGCACAGGCTCAGGGTCTGAGGTCTCGGGGTTTTAGATGTGGGGAGTGAGACATAGGGCCTCAGGGCTCAGGGTCTAGGGCCTTGAGGTCTTGGGTTTGTAGAGCCAGGGACCCAAGGCTGGCTTTGGGTCAGGGTCTTGTATCTTAGGGTCTGGGATCTTTAAGGTGTCAGGATCTCAGGGCCAGGGCCTGGGGTCTCAGGGTCTGGAGGTCCATGGTTTTCTTTTCTTTCTTTCTCTCTCTCTTTCTTTCTTCTTTTTTTTTTTGTTTTTTTTGAGAGGGGGAGTTTCACTCTTATTGCCCAGGCTGGAGTGCAATGGCGTGATCTCAGCTCACTGCAACCTCTGCCTCCCAGGTTCAAGCAATTCTCCTGCCTCAGCCTCCCAAGTAGCAGGGACTACAGGTATACATCACCACACCTGGCTAATTTTGTATTTTTAGTAGAGACGGGGTTTCGCCATGTTGGTCTGGCTGGTCTCGAACTCCCGACCTAGGGTGATCCACCCGCCTCGGCCTCCCCCAAAGTGCTGGGATTACAGGCGTGAGCCACCGCGCCCGGCCAGGTCTGTGGTTTTCAACGCCATGGGGCCAGGGTCTCCAAGTCTTGAGTTGAGGATTTGAATTCCCAAGTCTTTGGGCTTCAGGGTGGGGTCTTGGGTCTTAGGGGCTGGGATATGGGGACTTTGAGGTCATGGATGATGGAGTCTCAGGGTCTTGGGGTGAGGATTTGGAGTTTCTGGGTGGGATTTGGGGGTCTAGGGCCTCAAGGTCTCAGGGCCACAGGATCTTGGGGCTGTAGAGGCAGGGTCTCAGAGCAGGGCTGTTGCACTTAGGTCTGGGGTCTCAGGCTTCAAGGACTCAGGCCACAGGATCTTGGGGCCGGGGTGGGGGTCTGGGGTGTCAGGTCTTGGGAACAGGACATACCAGGAGCTGCAGCCGGCGCAGCAGCCGGTCCAGCCGGGTCTGCAGGGTGCCCAGCTCAGGCTCCAGGGTCTTCAGGGAAGAGCCCATTGCCCGACGCAGCCACTGCACATGCCGCAGGTAGGACAGTAGGTCCGCTCGCAGCCTTGTCAGCACACTCGGGAGCTGGGGACAGAGCCAGGACATCAGAGAACACCCAGCCGGTGCCCGCTGTGCCCCTCATCCTCCCCACCCCCTTTACTCCCTGCCTCCCGCCTTGTCCCCAGCCCACTCCCCTGCCCTTACCTGTAGAGCTCCCAGTGCCCCCGCGCTCATGGCCAGGGTGGGCAGGGAATCCAGGTTGTGGTCCCCGTCAGCTGGGAATTTGTCCTTCTGGCAGGGAAAAAAGGCTGTGAGGGGGCCCCTGCCCAGCCTAGGGGCTCCCTCCATCCCCCACGCCAGGCCCCCAACTCTTCCTCTCCCTCACTCTGCCACCCGAGAGCCCAGGACCCCTTCAAGTGGCCTGCCCACAGACATCTCTCCGTTCCTCTCTGCCTCTCACTCCTGTGCTGGCCGCAGCCCAGTCTCTCGTACCAGCTGTATAGTCAGCTGCCGCGTGTCCTCCAGGAGAGAGCGGGTCAGGAGCACGGTGCTGTCCAGCTCGGCCCGAGGGTCTGGGGAAGCTCGAGGGGAGCCAGGTGGTGGCCCAGGGGCAACAGCTGTATCTGGCCACAGGCTCAGCACGACCAGGACCAGGCGGCAAACACCTGAGGGCAGGAGAAGACAGAGAGCTCAGGTTGGACTCCGGGTCTGAGGGAGGAGGGACTGGGGGCCTGGACTCCTGGGTCTGAGGGAGGAGGGACTGGGGCCTGGACTCCTGGGTCTGAGGGAGGAGGGGCTGGGGGCCTGGACTCCCGGGTCTGAGGGAGGAGGGGGCTGGGGCCTGGGACTCCCGGGTCGAGGGAGGAGGGGCTGGGGCGGACTCCCGGGTCTGAGGGGGAGGGCTGGGCCGGACTCCCGGGGTCTGAGGGAGGAGGGGCTGGGGCTGCCCGGGTCTGAGGGAGGAGGGCTGGGGGCCTGGACTCCCGGGTCTGAGGGAGGAGGACTGGGGGTCTGGACTCCTGGGACTGAGGGAGGAGGGGCTGGGGTCTGGACTCCCGGGTCTGAGGGAGGAGGGCTGGGGGGTCTGGACTCCTGGACTGAGGGAGGAGGGGCTGGGGGTCTGGGACTCCCGGGTCTGAGGGAGGAGGGGCTGGGGGTCTGGACTCCCGGGTCTGAGGGAGGAGGGACTGGGGTCTGGACTCCCGGGTCTGAGGGAGGAGGGACTGGGGGTCTGGACTCCCGGGTCTGAGGGAGGAGGGGCTGGGGGTCTGGACTCCCGGGTCTGAGGGAGGAGGAGCTGGGGGTCTGGACTCCTGGGTCTGAGGGAGGAGGAGGCTGGGGCCTGGACTCCTGGGTCTGAGGGAGGAGGAGGCTGGGGCCTGGACTCCCGGCCTTAAGGAGGAGGGAACTGGAGGTCTTAAGTCCCAGGGTGGAACGCCCGCGGGCAGGTCGCAGGGCCGGGCGGGCTTCCCTCTCCCTCCCTGGCTCTGGCGGCCCCGCCCGTCGGAGCAGACGCGGCCCCGGGCGGGTAGACGGGCCGGGCGTCTCCCGTCCGCCCCCGGACGCCGGAATCTGGGCCCCGGGGCGGGGCATGGGGGGGGGGAGGCACAGGCCAGAACCTGCCCCTCCCCGGGCCGCGGGAGCCCGAGCTGGCTGGGAGCAGGGGAAGGAGCCAGAGGCCAGGACGGAGCCCCGGAGACACGGACCTCTCCCACGGGAGACCCCTTAGACGCCCTCCCAGGAGCCCCGCCGGGTGGGCCGCAGGAATCCGGGCCGCAGCGCACCTGGGCGGAGACGGGCACAGCCACGGGCCCGGCCGGGCCGCGGGAGTGGGAGACCTGGCGGCGGGGGGCTCGGGGGTCCGGGACTGGCTCCTCGCAGCCCACCCCGGCCGCCCCGCCCACCCGGCCACTCGCCAGCCAATCAGCGCTCCCCGGCCGCCCGCGCCTCGCACACCCCCTGCCCGCCCCCTGGCCCTGCCAGCCGTCGGTCTGTCGGTGCGTCCGTCGGCCGCATCTGCCCGGCTCCCCTCGCTCCCCGCCCGCGCCCAGTCTCTCTCCTCCCCCTGCCTGGGGTCGCTGCTCCCTGGCTTGCTCCGGTCTCCGCGGACCCTGCCTCAGTTTCCCTCCGGAGCCTCTCTGCCGGGATCCCAGGGAGTCTGCGTCTCCCGGTCCCCGCGGGCTCCCTGGGGCCTGGGCCGATGGGGGTCCCCTCCCTCCCGGCACCAGTCCCTCCGTCCCTGCCCCTGCTCGGTCTCCGCGTCTCGCTCCCTCTCGGGGCCCTGTCTGGCCCGTCCCTCCCGCGGCGCCTCTGATTGGCTGCCTCCATCCGCGCCTGTCTGTGTCTCCCTCTGCCCATCTCCTCTCGGCCTCCTCCTGTCTCGGAAGCTGCTCTCCTCCTCGTCTCTGACTCCCCGGCTGCCTCTCTCCGGGTCCCTCTCTGTGCGACTCAGCGGGGTCTGCCCCCACCCCCGCCGTGGGTCCCTCTCCTCCCTGCCTCCCTGTCCCCTCCACCCACCCCACGAACCAACTTACAGTTCATGTCCCCGCAGGGCCAGGGGTTCCCCAGGGCAGGGGGCAGGGAGCCGGGGGCCTTTAACCCTTCCCTGTCCGCTGCCGGGGGAGCCCCGGGGGTCAGCTGGGCCGCGGCCTGGGGAGGGGAGGCATGTGCCCGTCAGCAGCAGGGCCGAGGCAGTGAGGGAGTGTGGACGCCTGGGGGGTTATATAGGGGGCTGGGGCGGGCGGGCGGGGGGCAGGCGGCAGGGGAGGGCGGCCTGACACATCCTGACTCACCCTCCCTGCCTGCCTTTTCCATTCACACGGAGCGGCTGCCTTGCAGGGCTCACGCCGCCGCGCTCGGAGGAGGGCACGGAAGGAAAAGTTGGAAAAGTTGAAAAGGGAAAGGGGGGGGTGGTCGGAGAGGGGCTGGTGAGGTCATTGGCGTCCCCTCCCTCCACCTCCACGGGCCAGAGCAGACACTCAGGCTCAAGGGCTGGGGCCCGACTGTGGGTGGGGGTCCGGCTGGACCAGGACTGGCAGAGAGAGATGGGGAGGCAGGAGGACGGAAAGGCAGAGAGAGGCCGGATGGAGGGACAGGACAGGGGCCTGGAGAGGTGGAGGCAGGAGGAACAGGGAGTCGAAGGGACGGAGAGAGAGACACACACACACAGAGTGAAGGAGAGACTGAGACAGAGACAGGGAGACCCAGATGCACAGAGATGGAGGCAGCCAGAGAGACGCACCAGAGAAGCAGAGAGGATCAGAGGGCCAGTCCTGGAGACAGAGGAGAGGTTCTGGGAGTCCGAGATCAGACAGCGGGAGGGACTTGGGGAGACCGGGAAAACCCCAAGGGAAAAGGAACAGAGACACCAAGACTCTGAGAGAGAGGACGCAGCAGCTGAAGGCACCAGCAAAGAGACACGGGGCAGAGTGACAGGGACGGAGAGGCCCCATTAACAGAGATGGGGAGACAGATATTAGAAAGACAGAGATGCTGAGATGTTGGGGACTCAGCAATGGGGCCAGAGAGTAAAAGCCTTTCTCATTTTTTTGTTTATTTGTTTTTTGGGACTGAATCGCGCTCTGTCGCCCAGGCTGGAGTGCAGTGGCGTGATCAATGGCGTAATCTCAGCTCACTGTAACCTCTGCCTCCCGGGTTCAAGCGATTCTCTTGCCTCAGCCTCCCGAGTAGCTGGGATTACAGGTGTGTGCCACCACACCCGGCTAATTTTGTATTTTTAGTAGAGATGGGGTTTCACCATGTTGGCCAGGCTGGTCTCGATCTCCTGACCTCATGATTCGCCTGCCTCGGCCTCCCAAAGTGCTGGGATTACAGGTGTGAGCCACGGTGCCCGGTCTCGTTTTTGTTTTTTATGAGACAGAGTCTCGCTCTGTTGCCCAGGCTGGGGTGCAATGGTGTGATCTCAGCTCACTGTAACCTCTGCCTCCCAGGTTCAAGTGATTCTCATGCCTCAGCCTCCTGAGTAGCTGGGATTACAGGCACCTGCCACCACTCCTGGCTAATTTTTGTGTTTTTAATAGAGATAGGGTTTTGCCATGTTGCCCACGCTGGTCTCAAACTCCTGAGCTCAGGTCATCCGCCCACCTCAGCCTCCCAAAGTGCTGGGATTACGGGTGTGAACCACCACGACCGGCCAGAAAAGCCTTTCTTGAAGAGGCAGGTGGAGACAGGAAGGAGGAAGAGAGACGGAGACAGAGGACCAAGAGAAAGAGGCGCTGAAACACTCCACAGAGGCGAGACCTCCATGTGCGACTCTCCCACTCTGTGCCTTAGTTTCCTCATCTGTGAAGGGGGGGTTAATGAGCACCCCCAGCCCTCTAAACGCCACGATGAAGATAAAGTGAGCTCGTTCGCGTGAAGCACAAAGTCAGTGCTAACCATCCTTATTCCCCTCATTAGTTCTTATGAACACATCAGGGACACAGAGAAAAAGATGTTGCCTTTGAGAGAGACGGGGAGGATGAGGGAGACGCAGGAGCAAGGTGGGGTGAAGACGGGACAGTGGGGACACTGAGACAGTGGCCAGAACTGGGGCCAGGGGCCAGAGCCCTGGTGGTTTCTGCACAGAGGTGGAGGCGGGAGAGGTGTGCAGGGGGGAGGGGACCCGCAGGCCAGGGTGGAGGCAGCAATGCCACCACGGTGGAGGCATGACCTCATCGCCTCAGGTAAGAGCTCTTTCCCTTTCTCTGGCCTGTCACAGCCACCCCTTCCAGGGCCCCCAAGGGGCCCTCCCCAGCACCGGCTCCTGCTGGGACCCAGGCCTCTGACCACTGGGTCTCCGCCCCTCAGGGGGCCTGCTTCCGGCTGAGTCAGATGGGGGGCCCAAGGCTGCGTCAGTGAGGGGAGAGCTGACGTAGACCCCCCCCAGACCGGCGGGGCCAGCCAAGGTGACTCAGGCCACCAGCTTGGGGGATGGACTAGCCTGAGGGGATAGGGGACTGGCTTGGGGCCAGCTGGGGAGCAAGAACAGGGCTCTGGTAATGCCAGCCCTGTCCCCCTACAGGGACCAGAGCCCAATCCCCAGCCCCTCCTCCCTCAGACCCCAGAGTCCAGGCCCCCAGGCCCTCCTCCCTCAGACCCAGGAGTCCAGGCCCCCAAACCCTCCTCCCTCAGACCCAGGAGTCCAGGCCCCAGTCCCTCCTCCCTCAGACCCAGGAGTCCAGACCCCCAGCCCCTCCTCCCTCAGACCCAGGAGTCCAGGCCCCAGCCCCTCCTCCCTCAGACCCAGGAGTCCGGGCCCCCAGCTCCTCCTCCCTCAGACCCAGGAGTCCGGGCCCTAAATTCTAGTTCAAGAAAGGTAGAGGAGAATCTTGTGGCCCTTCTACACTTTGGGGAGCATGTATGGGGAAGGTCATGGGTCTGGGACGAATCCGGGGTCCCAGCTGCTGCCAGTTTCCTGTCTCGTCTGGGTCCCCAGCCCTGGGTTGTGGGCTCAGACTCCATCCCCACAGCGAGGCTGCAGGAGGTGCAGGTAGATGGGGCGGGTGCAGAGTGGCAGGGCTGGGAGTTATTGGCAACTCCTGGGTCTGCCCAGATCAGGGTGGGACACATTGGGCTACTTCTGTGAAAACAAGAGAAAGAGATGAAGATTGGAAAAGAGACCCAGAGGCAGGACTAGGGAATCCCAAGAAAGTGACAGATGACAGAGACAAACAGAGCTGGGGAGACAGGGGCGACCCCAGGAAGCAGCCAGGGCTGTGGAACCCAGGGGAAGCTAGAGACCAGCTTGGGGGCTCGGAAACAGACTGGGCAGCTGGGGCACAAAGCCTGGGGTGGTCAGAGACACTGGGGAGAAGCCACGGGGACGTGGGGGA